GTGCAAAGTATTTCTGTTTACTGTTCATATATGCCCATTTCCAAGAGAAGCCGTTGGCCTCCTTAGGGATTACGGTGGGATCCTTGGGTCAGGCCTTAATTCTCCTCTATTTTATTCTCTGAAAGCAACCTACTTTGCTGTGGCTGTTGTGAAGAAATCTGACAGAGATATCACATGGAACAACCTGCAGGGTAAGAAGTCGTGCCACACCGCCGTGGGGAGAACTGCCGGCTGGAACATCCCCATGGGCCTGATTCACAACAGGACAGGGAACTGCAACTTCGGTGAGTCCATTTAACTCAGGTTATTAAAACAAAAACTAACTTTCCAGGAGAGGAAAAGTGAATTTTTCCCTATTCCTGCCTTCAGATGAATACTTCAGCCAGGGCTGTGCTCCCGGATCTCCTCCCACCTCCCGCCTCTGCCAGCTCTGCAAGGGCTCTGGGGGGGTCCCTCCGGAGAAGTGCGTCGCCAGCAGCCACGAGCAGTACTATGGATACACTGGAGCTTTGCGGTGAGTGCTGGGAACACTCAGGCTGCCTCTGGCTAATCCCAGGGGTTTATGGGTGGATCCCAGCTGGAGCACAGCCTCATGTTGACACTTATTTGCTGACCTCCTCTTTTTCTCTGTTCCACCACAATGTCTGTAATATTATACGTATGTGACATGTTTTGTCTTTGCTTCCTGAAAAATGATGCAAAATCTGTGAATTCTGTAAAACTGATGTCCTGATGCCCCAGGCAAACCAGGAGAGACACAAGACCTTCTACAGTGGCAGCAATGCTCCACTTTTAATACAGATAAGGAGTGTAAAGTGTTTCAGATACCTTTAAAATATTCATGGCAGGACTCCTAGACCTGGCTGTCCTCAGAGATTAATTGTACAAAATAAGACACAGGTGTAAATGAAATCTGTAGGAAAGGGCCAGGATTCAAGCACACACATCACTGGCCTCTTTCTACTTCCCTGGCCTCTTTCTACTTCCCAGGTGTCTGGTGGAGCAGGGGGATGTGGCCTTTATTAAGCATTCCATCGTCGAGGAGAACACTGATGGTACGTGGTTATTGCACAGCTCGTGTCAGGGCTGCCTTCCCCTTCTGCCTTATTACTCAGATGTTGTGAGGCTGATGTTCTCCTGCTACACAAGACCTCTGAATCTCCAAACCCCTTCTCTGTAAAGGCAAAAGTAAAGAAAGCTGGGCCAAAGATCTGAAAATGGACCAATTTGAGTTGCTGTGCACTGATGGGCAACGGGCAAATGTCATGGACTACAGGAGGTGCAACCTGGCCAAAGTTCCCACACATGCCGTGGTGACACGTCCTGAGAAAGCAAAACAAGTCCGTGAGATGCTGGAGAGACAAGAGGTTTGTAATGCTGAGAGTGGGAGAAATGCCCTGGGGTTGCCTTTATGCTCTGATTTTCCCCAGGTCAGAGTAACGTGGAAGATTTTACCTGGTATGGGGCGACAGCCTTGTCCCTTGTCCTTGCCCTTCCTCCGTCCCTCCCAAACCATTCTTTCTCCTCTACTACCTTAGCAAATACAACTTCAGGGAACAGCTGGACCGTAGTAGCTGCTGCTGTCACACTACACTTATGTGACATGAATTTATCACCTCATTTCTGGGCTCTGCTCTTGCTGGTGTGTCTCAGAAACTCCTCTGGGGTGCCCAGTCTCTGCCACAGCTGAGTCAGGCTCAGCCCCCACAGCAGCCCCCCTGCACACACACAGTCCTACAGCCACTGGGGCCAACATAAGTGTGTTAAACCATCTCTGTTTGTCACTGCAAACGTTAATATTTGCTCCATCCAGGCTCTGCTGAGCGGCCCTTGGGAAGTCAGTTCCTTTTGCTCCCACCTCATGGCTAAGGGACAGCACCTCCTGGCAGCACCTGCTGATGGGCTCTGCATGATAAAATGGGGGGGAAAATGTGCCCACCCATGACAGGTCCCTCCTCTAAGCGCATGGACAGAAAATTCACTCCTAAATTTCTAGAGCCTGGCTTGGGGCTCCCCAGGATGATGGTGAAGAACCAGAACCAAGAGTTAAGCTCGCATGAGCTGAATTCTGCCAGCTTTCTACTTCTCTTCTCATTGTGCCTTTATTTCAGAGACTGTTTGGAGCAAAAGGAATCAAGAATAAGGATTTCAACATGTTTGCATATGAAACCAAGGATCTCCTGTTTAAAGACTTGACCAAGTGCCTGGTGAAGCTCCGCGATGGAATATCGTACAAGGAATTCCTTGGAGATCAATACTATGCTTCACTTGCCAGCCTCAACACCTGCAATCCATCAGGTAACTGGAACAGCCCAAGGGGAATTCTCTGAATTGCAGTTCTTACCTCGCAGGCACAGACAGTTTCTTCTGGGACTGTCCATTTAATGCCTTTTAAGCAAAATGAGGATAACTCAGAAGGATGCCACTATACTTTTCTCCAAGGTCCTTGGGTGAACTGAGAACAGACTTAAAATCTGCTGTTTTGGCAGCAACATGAATAAAAGATTTTCTCTCACCTTTAGAAAATACACACTTGGAGAAATGGCACAAAGAACCCATCTGGACCCATCAGTGTGGGCCCAGAGTGATCTGTGGTTACTGCCCTTTTTTTGTGGCACACCATGGATTTTTCAAGTGATGACATTGTTGGCATCACTGTTGGGACCAGAGTGTTTAAAGGCAGGATCTGAACTTCTCCCTGTCCTTTCTTTTTCCAGATCTTCTCCAGGTGTGCACCTTCCTTGAGGACAAGTAGTGAGCTGGGAAGGATTCCTCGCTGGAGGGGGAGAAAACCTCAATTTATGACTCCCCTCGTGCCCTCAGCACTGAACACTGAGGGCTCTTTGCCTTCACTGCTTTCTCTGCCCTCCCTCATCACTCTGAAAGTGGCTCCTTGAGACTTTACAGTTCTCTGCTGCCATCACAGCAAAAAATAAAATCTCTAATCTAAACAGGCATCCTGATATTTTTCAAAATGGTCCTTAAGCCCATTCCTTCCTCAGCATATCTTGCTGTAGGACAGATACCAATGTGGTTATTGTCACTTACATCTATTGCTACCCATTAGAGAAACTTCTTTCACCATTTGCCAAAGCAAAATGGATTCAACGCATCTTAGAGCCCAATTAACAGGTGTTTTGTACTCTCTGTGCTTTTTCTTTGCCCAGGTTATCCCATTATCTCCCCAGCAGATGACAGTTCCCAAGTGTGGCTGGGACACAGGAAGAGGGAAAGTGTTTATGTCAGGGAAGCTGAAGGCTGGAGAAGAGAAAAAAAAAAAAACAACAACAAACCAAAGTAATACAGTGGTTGTAAGATGGGAGGTGTGAATAGAACTGCTCTGTCTCATATCTCAGCTGGCTGGGTCTGAGTCACTTCCACCTGACTCTTAAAACATGTAAACTTATTGACAGGGAGAGTCCAGGCTTAGGATTCCTTTCTGGAAAAAAATCTAGGACTTAGAAAAGTGTGTGTTTTGGAAGTCTGTCAGATGTGCTGCTGACCTGAAAACAAACATGTAGGTTTGTTTTCTCTGAGTCTGAATCATGGTGAAAACAAAAAGGTGAGATAAATAGGTCTGCTGAGGCTCTCTGCTTCAGAGGAGCAGTCTGGGGTCATCCAGTAGATCCTAGCCCTGTTGTCATGGCAGACACAGAGGAGTTGTTGAGGGCACAGAGGTGCTGAGAGCTCCTGGCCTTGAGGGAATGAATATTTTGATGATTTCTGGATGCATATGGTATGTGTGGCGAGAAGTCCACCAGCCTGACTGAAGATCCCCTTGGATGACAGAAATGTAGGGTGTGATGGGAAAGGATGACATGTAGTCCCTCACATTTATGTAGGATGAAGTACACTGGGCAGGTGGCTCTTTTAACCAGTTCTTCAAAACTAGGAAAGAAAGAGAATCAATGCCTCTAAGTTGCTTCTACAGCTCACTATGGCTGCACTTAGAAATATATCCCTAAGAGAAGGGAAATCATTTGTGTTCTGTATCAAGTGTAATCCTTTGTCCGATAAGTAAAAGGCATGGATAAAAGGAAGCTCACTAGAGGATCCCTCTGGTGGAAAGGTACCTCTGGGGTTCTCCAGTCCAACCTCCTGCTCAAAGACAGGAGTCAACCAGGTTGCTCAGGGCTTGACCTCCACGACCTCCCTGGGCAGCCTGTCCCACTGCCTGGCAGCCCTCAATGGGAGGAGGTTCCTCTCACACCTGCTCTGAACCTCTCTGGTTTCAACACATTCCCATTGCTCTTCATCCTGCACCACCATGAAAAGCCTGGCTCTGCTTCCTGATCTCTGATTCAAATGGGGCTGCACCTTTTTGGGTCACAACAGCCTAGGTTTGGGGCAGAAAGGCTGGAAAGCTGGGAAAGGCCCTGGGAGTGCTGGTGACGGCGGCTGGACATGAGCCCAGGAGTGTCCGGGTGGGCAGGAGGCCAAGGGGCTGGAGCGTGTG